TGGCTGGTCCCCCACGTGGGTGAGGGGGAATTTGAGGCCCGGACTCCAAGCGGTCTCTGACTCGAAGTCTGCTTAAAAATGTCAGACTTTTTTTCTTTTTTTTTTTCGCTGCATACCAGGAAAATTTTCCGTCTTTCTTGCAGTTTTGCGTCGTGTGCCTTCGCCATCACGTTGCAAGAGTAACACGCAGCATAAATCGATGAGTGCAGTCCTTTGGTGAATGAGGAATAGGGACAGTGCTCGTAGGCTTCTGCCAGCAGAAGGCGGCAGCAGGGCATGAGGGCTGTGATCTGGTGAGGGGTCTGGAGCACAAGTCATAACGAGGAGCGGCTGAGGGAACTGGGGTTATTTAGTCTGGAGAAGAGGAGGCTGAGGGGAGACCTGATCGCCCTCTACAACTACCTGATGGGAGGGGGTAGTGAGGTGGGGGTCGGTCTCTTCTCCCTGGTAACAGATGATAGGACGAGGGGGAATGGTTTGAAGTTGCGCCAGGGCAGGTTTAGACTAGACATGAGGAAAAACTTCTTCACCGAAAGGGTTGTCAGGCTCTGGAATGGGCTGCCCAGGGAGGTGGTCGAGTCCTCCTCCCTGGAGGTATTTAAAAGAAGGATAGATGAGGTGCTTAGGGACATGGTTTAGTGGTGGGATGTCAGGGTTAGGTTAAAGGTTGGACTCGATGATCTCAAAGGTCTTTTCCAACCAAAGTGATTCTATGATTCTAATCTCGAAGTTAGGCTAAAATCTAGTGTTCGGAACAAGGGTAACGTGATTGATACAGAATAGCTTTATACTTGAAAGATAAGCTGAATCTAAAGTATCTCACAGTCATTTTCTGTAGTTACCGGAGTGGGGGGTGTTATTTGGGTGTTCGCTTTAGGCAGCGTGGGTGGTTTTTTTTCTGGTTAGAGCACTTACCCAGAACGTGTAGGATCCGGACCACATCCCCCACAACCTGTGGAAGTGCTGCTTGTGAGGCGGCAGGCAGTTTGCACCACTGCTGCTGATTTTTTTTTTTTTTTACTTCTCGGCAGCATTTGTGAATCCAAATGTAATTTGGTAACAAAGGCATTCAGGTTTGCTTTGGCCACTGTAGGCTGTTGGTGACCATGGATGTGGGCTGTCTGGTTATTGAAGATGTGACCTGTCTCAATGGTGAAAAGACTCCCTTTTCAAGATTTTGTTACTGGACTGCACGACCCCTGAGAGACGGGGATTCTGTTTAGAAGTTGGTATAATAGTGTTGATTTGGAGAAAGGGTGTATATTGTTCCACAGGTGTCCCAGGTGCAAGTTTGTTGGTTATATTGTAGCTGCAAGTACTCAGGGTAGTTGCATCATATAAGGTACCTGGTGCTCTTGACAATATCTGACTCATCCAGAAAAAACTGAAGTCTTGTGAAGTATTAAGACTCTGGCTAACAAGTGCGCTTGGGAGATGAGAATTTGGCAAGCTCTGATATTTTTTATGGTAAAGAAGAGACAGGAAAACATAAAAATTGCTAAACTTGCTTATACTTACTTGGGGAGGGTTGGCTCTTTTAGGGGTGCAGCGCAAAGGGAATGACTCCAGGTTTGGGCAATTCACTTACAGGCTTGTATGTCCTTTCCTCCTTTTCCTCTTCTTGATGTCCTGATTTTTAGAGCTGTTGGGCAACCAAAGACCGGTACACCTCTACCAGCTTCTGAAGATACAGATATGAAACTGGGACAACGAATAAATGTTTGCTGGGAATTGGTGTATTAATGTTTATAGTTGACCTTATTCTGTATTCCTAGTGGAGTTCCTGATGCAGCTTCATGTTACACTTTTAATCCCTTCCAGTGACAGGCTGTTGTCTGCCTCTGTCTCCCTTAGTTCAGATCTAGAAATCACATGGCCTTGAGATGAGTTGTTTTCCCCCACTACTCTGATGGCAAGTGAACAGACCTTGCCAGAAAAAAAAAAAAAAAAAAATGTTTTTTAACAAGCTGAACTTATTCATGTAGAAGCACAGGGTTGCCAATTATGATGCAGGTGAAGTTGAAGTGCGCTGTGATGGGTGGTGCAGAGAATAGAAATGTCCTTTTGAGTAGTCTCCTGCAGTCCAACTGCATATGAAATTGTGGTTTCTGTTAATTGTCCAAAGCTGATCTAAAACTGCTCAGTGACTGGGTGGGTTGTTTTGCGCACCCCTTTTTTTTCAGTTCTCCCTGTCCTTAAATTAACTCTGGCTGCTGATGGTTGGAGGGCCAGTTGGATTAGCAAGCTGATTTTATTTTTGGTTTTGTTTTTTATAACTTAGTTGAAGCAAGTATCTGTAGGAAAGAGCAGGAGGGAGAGGTGGGACTTCCTCTTCTAGTGGCAGTGCTGACTTATTGCAGAACTGTGCTGTGCCTGATGCTGCTGAGGGCGTACAGAAGTCTTGCTGAGTGGTTAGATTCTTGGTGTGGTGAAGCATAATGTTTTTACACAAACAACCTCTTCCTTCAGTACTCCAGAAGTACTCATTTCATCTACGTCAAAGACATTTTCTAGGGAAAGGAACCACTTTATCTTTAGACATTTTCTTAAGAACAGCTACCAGTATTCTGGAGAAACTTCACTGGATCACAGTTCACGTCTCTCCCTCTTGGATTAGTCCTCATGTGATTCATCTTCTGTTTCTAGGGAGGAATGCTATTATGTTAGTAATAGATTTAAATACATGAATCTAAATAACACCAAGTCCTAGGAGATCTTCTGTTCTCATGAAGGAGAAGAAAGAGCAAAAAGGCCAAGTGCTGCAAAATTAGTTGAATTTATGCAGTGGTTAACGATATCTTTATTACATTCTATATAATTTTGAATGTTTTCAGGATGATGCTGTTAGTATTGAAAGCGGTACTAACACCGAACGCCCTGATACACCAACAAACACTCCTAATGCGCCCGGAAGAAAAAGCTGGGGGAAAGGAAAATGGAAGTCAAAGAAGTGCAAATATTCCTTCAAATGTGTAAATAGCCTAAAGGTAGGTGTGTGTAAGTGTCAACATGGGTATGCTGGGTACTGCTTGTTGTCAGTAATGTTATTTTTGACTGTGAGACAGTGTCAAGATAGATGTTTTTAAATACCTGTATACAATTATGTTCTGTGCTCATTTGAAGGAAGTACTGTATTTGGAATAGCTGAAGTTTTGAAGGAAAAGGATACTGAAAAGTAGGAAACAGTAGGTAGTGCTGCGATTAACCCAATTTTTTCTACAGTTTTGCGACGTTATGTGTGATATGTTACAATTCTGAATATCATCGAAGCTGTAGTTGCTTGAGATAAAGAAACTGGATAAACAAACTCAGATAAAACCTGTGACAACTTGATGCAAAGCACAGAACCTATGCAGATTTTTTTTTTTTTTACCTGTTGAAATGTGTTTAAAAAAACCCCCCAAAACCACACCAAAACCCAACCCAACAATCTTGAAATAGCTTTTTCCTCACACTTACCAGATCAGATATTTTCTGTCCTCTGGCAATTGTCATAAATGCTACGTAGTGCAATTTTGTTAATTTATTGTGAATGTTGTGATTATGTGTTCACACCTGATCTAGGTCATATTTATCTTCCCACGTAATACCTGATGGTTTTAATGGATGTGGATTCATGGTCTTACTCTGTGTTCTTATGTTTTAGGGTATTGTTTTCTTCTGTACTTGTGACAGACTATGGTGAACTGAATGAATTTTCTCTTTGATTCTTTTACACTGTTGGGACGTTGTTCATTCATTCCCCAGCCTTGTGTCGGATATTTATGTGGCAAAAGCTGTAAATAAGCCATCTGATTCAATTTTTATAGGATTTCTAAATAAAGGAAAGATTGCATCTGGAACAAGATGGGAGTTCTGTTAAACTTTATATTTAGCTAACAGGAGGACGTGTGCAGCTTCATAGTGGATGTTCTGTGCAGAATTGCTTAAAGAGGTTTTTGGCATTCCCTCACGCTGAACTGTTGAGCTGTGCTGATGTAGCTGTTTCTGAACTTTGGCTTCAGACTGCCTCAGTGAAACGGAGGGAAAAAGAGGTTTGGAGCATGGGAACCTCGTAAAGGAGCTTTGCCACTGGAGAAGCTGTGATACGAGGTTGTACTGACAAAAGTATCTGGGAAATAAGTTGATCTTAATGTGGTTTTTTTTGAAGTATAAAAACTATCTCCAGTCCTTTCAGGGTGTAGGAGGAAGGGAAGCTCTTTCATTTTCACCTGGGTAGGCAGCTGTTCCTGTGATTCGCGTGAATCGCCCCCGCAGGTAGGGCTTTTTGTGGCTTCAAGTCGTGCTTCAAACACAGGCGGAGGCCTTTCGGCACCTAAACGTTTAATAAGCTCTGAGTTTTGCTAAGCGTATTTGTTTCCTATCTGCAGACCAAATATTCCAAAGTAGGTAGTACTTTTCAAGTGTCTTCTGGGAAAACAGAACAATCCCTCACCCAGGCCCCACTATAGGGTGACCCTATGAAGTTAAGCAGTCCCTGACATCTGTGGATTTGGAGCAGGGCCTGGGAACAGATTCCTGTGCAAGTGGAATCAAGCTGTGAGGGAGTAAAGGTAGCATTTCAGCTAAGTGGGGTATTTTTACTACCTTTTTTTCCCCCCTGATTTCTCTTTGAACTGAAATTAATGCTAATAATAATAAACATGCGTGTTAATACAAAGAGTAGGCAGCCGTCCAGTTTGGTAACTCCTTTTTACTCCGTGTTTGAGGAAGCCTCTCTTCTTTTTCCTGTTCTTCTGTACTAATTTTGCGGATACTGTGGAGATATACTATAACGATTGAATATTGTATATGGGTTCAGAAAGACACTTGTGACTCTTTGGATATCATATAATATATCCCATAGTTCATATGTCTTTGAACTATGCTGTAAGGTGCATGTACTGAAATTAATGAAGAGTCAAGACGATTTAAAGACAAGGGAATTAATATTATTTAAGGATGTATAAATTATGTGGTTTTCCAATTTCCTACTCTTGTTTTTCCCTCTTACTTTGCTTTTTACTTTTTGCCTTGGGAAAACAAAGAAATATGGCCATTACCGTCTGCTTCGAATGGTAAATGGTTATGATTCAGCCTGAAAAACTCAGTGCTTGTTAAATACGCTTTTTAAACACTACCGTGGAAGTTATTTTGGGTGAAATTTAAGCATCAGGAAAACAAGAATATGACTTGGAAAATGACAGGAAATAAAGTGCCTTTTTTTTTTTTTTTTTTTTTCCTTTTTGTAGTACTAAGTTACTGGAAGGTGCACTGAAAAATCTGTGCTCTCTGTGGGCTGAATGGAAATGTAGTTTATAAAGGAGTGTATACAGCTAACAGATGCACATCCTCACATACATCCATATATATTTTGCTTATAGATCTTCCAGCAAAGAACTGTGTCTATTCTGCTTTGATGTGCTCCCTTTAAACCAATGCTGTTATTTGCCCTACCCTTTGCTCTTGCTTAGGGTGCGGCTCAGGGGTTGTTCGCAGTCCAATGTTGTCTCTCAGCTTCTACTCACTGTCCCCTGTGCTGGGAATCAGTAACCAGACAGATGCAGGATTCTAGCTTGTGGATGTGTACAGGAGAGGTAACTAAAACCACTGACAGCATTGGCTTGCTTCCGCTTGAGGGAGCTGGAAATGCATGTGTGCTCAGTTGGTTCCTCACTGGCAGTGTGGGTGACAGCGTCTTAAAATGGGTTTGTGTAGTTGCAGGTGATTATTTTTTGCGTTGGCGTAGTATTTACTTCGGTGTCTTCAGTCTAAAAATGGGTCTAGTCTTATTGTCTGACGGAACCTGAGTTGGCGTTGCATGAGTAAGGGCAGAACTAAACATGGATGATTTGTTTATTTGCTTTTGTAACAACTGTAGGTCTATTTTCTCCTCTGCCTTGATTCAGTGGTGCATGAAGAACCTGAGTGGTTTGGGTCTGGTGCCCATTATTCATGCCAGGGTCAAGATGGCGTTTCACAATTCTACTTTTGGACCAGCATCTGGGTCACTCTTCTGTACAAACCAGTGGTCAGATTTGCGTAACATACTTGGCATCTCAGGATAACCATAATGTGCAGCACCCAGAAGTGTAATGTTTTTAAAAACTTGCTTCATTGTTTGGCACTTGGGACAAAAATTAGATCGACCAGGTATTATCAAAATAGCTATGTGCTGTCTCTGACCAGTGAGGATGATGGTAGTTTAAATGAGGTCAGAGTAACATCTTCAGATACCCTAGTGACTTCTGCAAGAGCCTCTGCCTGACTCCTTCATCCATTAAACACCAGAAAAACTGTGATATGTATGGTCAGGCTTTTGGAGGTTGTAGCACTTGATGCGAGGAATGCAGTGCGGATGATGTAAACAGTCTGAAGATGTTTATCTCACAGAGTAATTTTTCCAGGGAAATAGGTTGTCTTTGAAAAAGCTTACTAAATACTTTAGGTATGTACTCAAATATAGAAATAAAGAAACAGTATAGCCCTCTGTTGCATCTCTCTGCTTTATTACGGTATCGCCCTAGTCTGGGTTCTACCTAGAAAATCACAAACTTACCACAACTTATGCTGGAAAAATATCCTATCTTGAAGGGGAAAAAAAAAATCTTCCGCTTCACTTTTCCTATTTCACTAGATTTATCAGAAACATTTCATGTGACAGAGTACAAGGTTATTCCAGAAAAACAAGCACAAAACCTGCTAATATATCTCTGTAATTAAGCAGTAAGAACCCATGCCTATTACCTCTATTATCTTCATCCAGTATGTCAAAAGCCCTCAGTATTCACCAGCATGAACTCTTCTGCACACAAATTCAAAACTAACCAATTATTAGTGGAAAAAAATTTTTAAGTATTTTGTATTTGACTCTTCAGCCATTCTCTTCAAGGAAGACTTAAATACACTCAAAAAATAAGCCTAGGAAGTGAAATTCATAACTTTATTGGATGCTAAAAATCTTGGCCTTGTGTATGCAGTTTATGGCATGTAGTTTTCCTCATTCTTCATCTCTAATTAAACTATAATGCTGTACAGATGCTGAATACTTGCTTTTTCCTTCTGTTGTGGGGTCACTAATGACCTTGCTACTTTTCCCTTTGCTAAAATCCCGTATCCCTCATCACATAAAGTCACTAGTCTGTTTTTTCATGTTACGGTGAGTAATACTTCAAGTTAAACTTTGAACAATTCTTTTTAATCTGTATTTGGCTTTGAAAGTTGTTACCTCTCTATGAATTGCAGGAGGACCGTCATCTCTGAAAGATTTTCTCCCTTCTGTGTCTGTTAATAGATACTGCCTTTCTCAGTAAATAATGCTGTTTTAAATTCTTCCAGACTTCTTTACTGTTCTTTTTCTGAGTAGTGTTGGACTCCCCATCCACACCCCCTCCTCAGATTTGTTCTTTGGTTCTTGGATAGGCCAGAGCTGCCAGGGCTGATACTTCTCGTGTTGTCTCTGAAGCACTGCCATTTGAAGGCTGCTTAACAGCCGTCATGAGACACTTCCTTCCTGCCTGCAATGTCCCAGACAGTCCCCTGTGGGGAGGCACTTTAATGAACATTATTCTTACTGAAAACATCCTGTCAGGACAGGCCAAAATACTGTTATCAATTATTAACAAGGACCACCATATTAATCACGATTCATAAACATATCTGCTTTTTTTTTTTTTCTCTATTAAACTGATGCAAGCTGTATAAAAATAATACTTGGCATTTCTCTGGTAACAGTCTGTGAAGTCGATCCGAAAACGCTTTGTAGACATGAACTTTGCAGCAGCGCTGTGACATGCTGGAGTGTGTTTGTGGTGCCTGTGATAGAGTTGCAAGACCTAACTATGCTATAATAGTTAAACGTGGCCCTTCTCCACCCGTATACCAGTATAATTCTTCTCTGCCCCAGCGATTCTTCTCTGTGAAGTTGTAAATCCTTGCATGGAAGCAATTATAACAGTATAAAATGCATATAGATGTGGCCTTAGATGCAGAGGTTGCCTTGTTGAAAATTGCAAAACAAAGTAGAAGAGCCACAAATATAACACAGGAGTTCTGCCAGCTTCTGGCCACAATCATGAGACAACATTTCTTCCCCTTTACTTTTTAAAAGCTTGGAGGGGAGGGAAGAAGCAGGAGGGAAATACTCCTTTAACCTTCCTTAAGACAGCCAAGTTAAAATGTGATGTTACAAAACTGTTCTTTTTAACTGTTCACTATCTGAAATTATACTGGATGTGAACCCAGTAGTTTGAGGAGGAAAACATATCAATTAAACTGTTTACCACCACAGCTGAATTTCACAGAAATAATATGCCTGTGGGTTTTATTTTTTTTGGTCTCTAATCTTACTTTACATCTACAGGAGGACCATGGTCAGCCTTTGTTTGGAGTCCAGTTTAACTGGCACAGTAAAGAAGGTGATCCTCTTGTTTTTGCCACCGTAGGCAGCAACAGAGTGAGTAATCTGTTTTCAACCATAAGCCCTTCTGTGTGGTTCTGCTTGTATTCTTTTTTGCAATCCATCCCTTTACCTGTGTTTAATACAGACACAGGATACTTCATACACAAAGCTTTATTTCTGGGGCATGTAGCATCTGTTATCTGGGAGAGTTGCAACCTCTGGATTGTTTTATGAAGTCATGTGTTAGCTATTTGGGAATTAGCCTATGTAGAAAAGAAAAAATCCTTCAGTAATACAAATGTGGAACGAGGAAGAGAGGTGCATAAATGTATCTTCGCACTAAAATTACTCTTCATAGATGTTATTGTTTCTGAAAGGTCGTATGCTCTAAAATGGGATGAGAAGTGTCTGCAGTGATGCCAGGCAGCTCAGTAGCTAAATTAATGGCCTGTGTGGAGTGAATTTATAGGCTTCTTCTGAACAAGGATCTACGTCATTTCAGTCTTGAAAATAACTCCCGAAGTGCATTTTATGCAAGTCTTGTGAATAAACAAGAAGCCTTTCATTTCCAGGTTTATTCCACCTGGCAGTTACCAAAAGTGCTGAAGTAAGATTAAACAAGTTATCAGTGGCTCATTAAAAGACCAACTCATGTTAGAGATGGCTGCAGTAACTAATTCCAAATAGAGCTTAATCTTACTAAGACAATTCAAATAATAGGTTTTAATATCTGGGAAGGACTGCTGACAAGTCCTGGAGTGCTGATTTACTGAGATTGCTGTGAGCATTCTTTTATCAAACCATTTCCACCTGTTGGAAACCAACAGATGGTGGATGAGATCTAAACCATAAAGGCACACTACCTCTGCCCATCATGAAGTCAGTACACAGGTGCATGTGATTTCCTTTTGAAATATCACAAGTAAGCAGCAATCTCTCCCACTTCTTTTTTTTTTTTTTTTTTTCTTTCTCCAGGTTACTTTATATGAATGTCATTCCCAAGGAGAAATTCGTCTGTTGCAGTCGTATGTGGATGCTGATGTATCCTTTTAAGTTAAAAAGTCACTTGTTTGCTTCCTCTTTATCAAAAACAAAGAGGTTTTGTAGGAAAAAGCATATGAAGGTTTTGTCTGTGATTTAATACTTTGCTAATGTGGCACATTCCTTATGTTAAGTCCAAGTCTTGCCTCTTTTCCACATCCTAGAATCCCTCCTATTGAAAAAATACTAAAAAAGCAGACTCATGGAACATTCTGTGTAAAAATATTTGAAAACGGATTCCCCATCAGTTTAATCTTCCCAACACTAATATTTGGGTAATGTTTCACATTTGCTGCTTTACAGCGGTCTCACTTCCCTGTGAATTGGAACTGGGTTTAAAGCCTAGGAATTAAGTTTCATGCTCTGAAGTGGGGATAACTTGTGTTGATCGTTTGTGGTACACAAGTCAATAACTTGTGAACTCAGCTGAGTCACTGATCATCCTCATTTTATTCCCAGTCTTTGGATGTTTTGGAGAAAGATGTTGAAAAGTGATGCTGAGAGAGAAGGTGTTCCTTATATGTTATGGAACAGAAGTGAGGAAACCAGCATCTATAGAAAAGGTGATGTTGCTTGTATTTGCAGATGTGTAATCAAATATGTATCTTTTTTCTTATTGGGTCCAGCAGAGACTCTTGGGCACCTGCATAAAATAGCAACAAGCTGACTTAAAAAAATCATGTTGTTTTTCAAAAAAAAAAAAAAGAAATCTCCTGTTTCTTCTGTGTTCCTTAACGTAAAATGTTGTAGGCAGATGAAAATTTTTATACCTGTGCATGGACATACGATAGCAATACAAGCCATCCTCTTCTGGCTGTGGCAGGGTCCAGGGGTATTATTAGGATAATTAATCCTATTACAATGCAGTGCATAAAGGTGAGTGATCAGAACTTTGAGGTACAGCTTGCATTTCAGTAAGGCATGAAAATTATGTCTTCTAGATACATGTAAACATGAGGGGAAATGATAACTTGGTCTCTGAATTCTATCCCAGCACTACGTGGGCCATGGAAATGCAATCAATGAACTGAAATTCCATCCAAGAGATCCAAATCTCCTTTTATCTGTAAGCAAAGGTGAGGAAAAAAACCTCTTTTGTTTTTGTATAAATCAGGATACTTTGGATTGGATTTTGATCTTGAAAATGGCCAAAACCTCCCTGATCTTTTTTTGAATGGCACTGAACAAGTTTACCTTTAAAGTTGAGAGCACATCTCGCTCTTTTATGGCTATATATCTTGTACATATTAAATCCATGGCCTACAATAAACATAACTCCACCTGTGGTGCAAAGGGATTGTGAACAGTCCTGCCTTTAGGAAAGAAGAAAGATGAGTGTTGGGGTTGTTCTTTCTAACAGTAGAGTTACAATTTTTCAGATGTTGAATCATGTTGCCATCTAGTGGTGATGTCTTAGTCGCAGACAGCATTCACCACCGTGGTCATGGGGAAAACTTAGATTCTCAGTTGCTCAGGAGCAGCTCTGACTTTAATTGGACTTGTGTGAAAAGCATATTGGTGAAGGGAGAAGCGAGTTTTTGGTATGATGTCTTATGGGCTTGTCCAGGATGTCTTAACAGTCACAACTTCCTAATCTTGACTGTTTTGTTAAGTAAGGGAGTACTTGATCTGCTGCAAGAGCAAGCCTTCAAGAACGCGAGAAACATTCACATAAGGGGACTTCTGACTTTAGTGCATTTGGTATTACTGATGAAGCTACACAAGAATAGGAGCTGGGAACCTCTCCAATTCTTGCAACTGTCTAATTTGTGCTGTGGGTCTGTAATGTTAAATTTCTTGAGTTCCGTATATTTTTTAGGTTCTCTTTTTAATAACATTTTGACATCAGCCATAGTACTGAAAGTTTTAATGTGCAATCTCTGGACCAGGTGCTATCTTCGAGAGGGCATGAGGCAGGAGAATATTGGAGTCTCAGAACTGCTTGGCTGAGAGATGAGTAGAAAAAGGGGAAAATACTTGGGACTGTGTGGCCTTCCAGTCGATGGTGCTGTAATTCAGTGCAGTGTACTTGTGGAATCCCAAAGGGAAATATAGTAGAGGTTCCCGTTTCCAAATGGGAAATGCAGTAGAGGTTCTTCATTTGAAATTGTTACAACTGCCTTTAAACAAGTGGATTAGTCTGATTGACTTTGGAGTGCACATTGTTTATAGAAACAGTTTCTCCCATCACTACAATCTGTGGTTCGTAAAGAATAATATTTTAAAGATTAGAAAAATGGAAAATCAAAACTTCTCTGAATGCTGATGTAAGAATGGCTGAAAGGAATTCTAGCCTTTTTTTGATATATACAATTTTTTTGAGGTAAGACTGAATAAAAGCCTATTTGTCCAGGATCAGACTCTTCTTTGCTTTTTGGATGGTCTAAAGATCCAAGTGTATTTTTGTTCCAAGCTGTCCCTAGGGGAGGGAGGTGGGCACACTTTATCAATTACAGAATTACTCTAACAATAGTTCAGTTGTAATGGCAATTTTAGCTAATGCAGTTCCGTTTCTTACAAGTGAAGAAGAATTAAGTGCCTTTTCGATGTTTACATGAACACCTGTTATTGAAAGTAGTTAAGCTGAAATATATTATTCATATGTACATATAAAAAGCAGCATGTAATTTTATTTGTTCTTTATAGATCATGCATTGAGACTGTGGAACATCCAGACAGACACGCTGGTTGCAATATTTGGAGGAGTAGAAGGGCACAGGGATGAGGTGTTAAGTGCAGTAAGTGGAAGACTGTGGGGCAGTGATTTAGATTTACAAAGGGTAGTAAGCCTACAATATGCAACTTCTTATCCTCTTGTGCACTGTTTTGATATTATACCTACTTAAAAAGACCCTGAAGTGCATAAATACTGTTTTAAGGGGATAAATGAGTTTAAATCTAAGGTGGTTTGATTTGATCTGGCCACCTCTCAACAGGCAGGGCAGGTGTTCAATTTCTGTGTCGATCAGTAGCTAGTTTTCTCACAGTGCAGCCTAGAAGTAAACAAAATAGAGCTCAGTGGGGCTGGAAAGAGTAAAAAGTTTTCATGATGGTCCCACTTTTGAAGTTCTTGAGGTCTTATCAAGCCGAAGCAGCAAGAACAAATAAGCCTTGAGAGACATGGTAGTGAAGGAAAGAAGTTACTTCAGGTGAGTTATGCTGCTTTTCAGTGGCTGTGAACAGACACTGGTACCCGGCAAAAATCAGCTAGAGTAGTTGACTCTTAATACGCTGCTCTTAAGAACTGTTCCCATTCCTGTTGTGTGACCTGAAAGGTGAGGGGTGCATCTATGTGAAACCTGGCGCTCTGTTACTCTCTTGTGCTTCTAAATAGTCATCACCCATGTGGTAGCCCTGGAATTCTGCCAAAAACTGCTCCGTAAAATGAAACCTACAGAATTGACTGAGGGGAGAGCACTAGCAGTAGATTCATTGTCTGTCAGTGCTGTTGAATATGCCTCTCTTCCTTGAGAGAGAGTAAATATAATTATTAAGATACTGTGCTGCTTTGCAGTGAGCAGGATTAAGTTATTAGTATTTTTCTATTTGAAATATACAGTTTTTTATTGCATTCTCTAAGCCAAAAATGCTGTTTTGATGGAAATGCTGGAATAAAATCTGAGTTGATACAATGCAGCTTAAGGCTGGTGGTCGTCAAAATTATTTCATATACATAGGATTATGATCTTCTTGGTGAAAAAATCATGTCCTGTGGGATGGATCACTCTCTAAAACTCTGGAGAATTAATTCCAAGAGAATGATAAATGCCATCAAAGAGTCTTATGAGTACAACCCAAATAAAACCAACAGGTACGTAGTCTTCATCTTCTTGGCTGTCTTTGCGAAACATGAATGTTCTCATCAATGGCCCAGGTTAATTCCTGTCCGAACTGGGAGTTCTTGGGGATAATGAGTGATCTGGGGTTGGTGCTGGATACTGAATCTCTGGAGAAGATGCGTCTTACTGATGTTTGCTTCATCAGAACTTTACTGAATTCAGATTTAAAGTCCTGACACTTCTATTTTTAAATATCTCAGTTACTTCTTATCTGCTTGACTAGAAAACGTTTAGAATTTTTATCTTTTTATCATTCTTAAAGCTCGTATTTCACTGTGTTTCAAGATGTCGGTGGCTTTTCTTTCACCTCAAAATTTCTAGGAAGGAATCAAATTCATGTAATTAAATATAGCAAATATTTTTATATTGGGTAGTTATTACTAATTATTGTATCTGTTATCTGACTTTGGGGTGGGGACAAAACTGTTTCTGTAGTAATAACCTGAATTTTCACCATTCTGTGATCTGACCTCAGATATGAGTAAATTGTCAAGTAAACATAGCAATTAGATACATAATAGATAAATCCTCCTTTATGAAGTTCACCAACTTTTTAATCTTAACTTCCAGTTAAACCATTGAGAGAATTGAAGAGTCTAAAACACACTGAACATGTTCAGCAATGAGACTAACTGTGAAAATACTCTCGCTTTTTTTGGTAATGTTACCAAATATTAAATGATGCTTTTTTAGCGTGTTTTTTTTTTAAAATTACGGGTTTTTTTCCTAGTGTGCTTTTCTGTTTAACAATTTAAATGTTGCAGAAGCAGCATTGGGAAAACTGAGCTTTAATTAGTTGTTGAAGTATTTAGCAATGGAAGCTGTATTCAGCACCTAAAGAAGCGGTTTTGTTTAGCGCTGTCTCTGCACAGTCTTGTACAGTGGGAAACGTTATTTCATTAGGAATGAGGATGAAAATAGGGACTGTTCCCATTGTTTAAAAAAAAAAAAAACAAACCCAAACAACCCAACGAAACAGCATACAAAATAGACTTTGTAATAAAACTGTTAAAACAACAAAGACTACAGGCTTGTCCTTTTAACATTGAGATATCTTAAAACTGGCCATTAAAAATTAGACTTGTGCTTCTGTGTTTCTCTGAACCTCACATGGCAATTTTCCCCATAGGCCTTTTATTTCCCAGAAAATTCACTTTCCTGACTTTTCTACGAGAGACATACATAGAAACTATGTTGACTGTGTACGATGGTTGGGAGATCTAATTCTTTCCAAGGTAAAGTGGCAGCTTTTTCAGCTATATGACACATATTTGCTTGTTTTGAAGAGCTTAAACAGTAAAACTTTTATTAGAATTTGGGTTCTAGTTTAACTTAATATGCTAGGTCAAATGATTTTATGCAGTGTATTGTGAATTTTGCCAGCTGTCATGTTGTGTGGATAAGCAGCTTGTACTTAAAAAGAAAATATATTACTACAGCTGTACTTCTGCTAAAAGCACAGGGATATCAACTGACCAGATTGGTAGAGAATGCAGAAGGAGAATATATAGATACTGATGAGGGGTCTTGCCACTAAAGGGAGAAATAAAGGTTTCCATAATGGACTAATTTTCATTTGTTTGTTGTGTCCACCAGTAACATTTACTCGCAGACATTAAACTAGGTGGTCTTATTGCCTCTTTGCCAGAAATTTTCACGCATGGTCCTGTTGGTTGAAGGGGTTGGGTGAACAGTCCTCAAGTCTAGGTTCATTTAAACTGCTCATGAAAGTGTGTTTGAGCACGTCTGGTTGACTTCCTCTGAAGTGGGTGAGGGAGGGCTCCTGGCAGTCCTGTTACCTGGCAAAGCTGTGAGGGGAGCAGGCTGCCAGCGATGGGCAGTGACCTGTTGTTGCTGATGTGGCTGTGAGCTAAAGACAGAGGTGAGATTTCCAGTTTCATGGTTATTTATTTTTAATGTAGTTGGGGAAGCTGTGAGATGAAATATTCGGTTGTAATTATAGTTAGGCTGGATGTGCAGTATAAATTGTAAAGACGGGTGATTGTTTTTTTTCACCGTTTCCCCCCAGTCTTGTGAAAATGCCATTGTGTGCTGGAAGCCTGGCAAAATGGAAGATGATATAGATAAAATCAAGCCCAGTGAGTCAAATGTGACCATACTTGGGAGATTTGATTACAGCCAGTGTGATATATGGTACATGAGGTTTTCAATGGATTTCTGGCAAAAGGTACGTGTCAGCTTTGACTTTGCTGTATTTGAAGGTGCGTAGCTTTTCATTGATTCCATATTTACTGGCATGGGAAGTCTTGGTTCATGTGACGTGGTGCTTGAGAAGCAGAATGAGTTAATGCAAGGGGCTTTATGTGAAACTGGAGGAGCTCCAGATTTTTCAGTCTGGATTCTGCCTGATAGAAGAAGTTCCACCAAAGATGCATTTATTTTCCACTAAAGATATGTTTACTGATATCTTCCTCCCCCATCTGCAGAGGTGGATAATAAAGTTGGAGAGCGGAGGCAAATTTTACAGCATTTCTAGCCCCTCCAACAAACTCCATTGAGTCATTCATGCACAATTTATCAGCTACAGAGCCTTTATAAAATTCTGACTTCCATTCTTTGAGGTAGTACCTTAAAACTTCTGTATTCTCTGCTTTCCTTTAAAGATGCTTGCTCTGGGCAATCAGGTTGGCAAACTTTATGTCTGGGATTTAGAAATAGAGGATCCTCATAAAGCCAAGTGAGTACTTAATTTTTTTAATTTTATTTTTGTTAAGACAGGGAGTTGGGGTACTTTCCTTTTTCCTTTACTGATAACTCTAGAAATTCTTTAACCGTAGTAGTCACTTTCCATTTGAACTGCTAGGTAAATAAACATTCTGAGCCCCTGAAGGCTTATATACATTACTTTGTACTGCTTTATTATTTATATTACATTAGTGCCAAAAGGCCCCAATCAGATTGTGCTGGGCACCCTCTGTAGATACAGAAAAGACAATTTGTTCCTCAAAAAGCTTACAAGCTAATTAGGAGGAAAATTTACAAAGCAATTAAGAGAAGATGTGCTAGGTGGGTGAAGCAATATGACAAAGGATAAAGAGGTGAAAGGACTGGAGTAATGAGAGCATAAAGGTTAGCTTTGAGCATAATGTGGAGGAAACAGTGTGGCTTTCCAGTTCCTCACCTGTGTGACCAGGACATTTTGCAGCTTGTCTTTTATATATGTTTAAACATACAAATATATAAAAATCAATAAAAAAATATAATATATACACTGTATGTATAAAATGTATATACACTATGTATATAAATATATGCATTATATTTGTATTTACACTATATAACAACATATTCTTATCTATTTTTTATATAAAATATAATCTATATAAGTGTGTGTGTGTATGTATATATGTGTGTGTGTATATATATATATAAACGTATGAAGTTCCTGAAAATGCTGCAGTCTTTAATCACCTGATGACAATTTTTTTTTTCTAACCACTGGGAAAGAACGTTGATGATGAGGTCCTAAATGATGTGATTCAATAAGCGTTCAGTCAGTGCTTCAGTGAAAATTGGGTGGATGAGAAATGGCAGTGGGTGAACAGGCAATTACTGCTTTTCCCAAGCCCACATTTGGAATACAAAATACACCACAAAGGGCATAATCCTGTTGCCCTTCAGTTCCTCCTAGGTCACATAAGTAAGAGGTTGGTGAAACAGTGCTCCGTAATGTAGTAGCAAGTTCAGATTTAATGTTGCAACTGAATAATTTTCTTCTCTTTCTAGGTGTACGACTCTTACTCATCCCAAATGTGTTGCTGCCATTCGACAAACCAGTTTTAGCAGGGATAGTAGTATCCTTATAGCTGTGTGTGATGATGCCAGTATCTGGCGCTGGGACAGACTACGATAAGTGACTTTTTCTTAATTCAAAGTAGAAAATATATTTTCAAATTTTAATATAGTCTGTTACTTGCTAGTACAGTAGATGCATTTAGTGTAGACTTTCTCAAAGGTTCGGCAGGCTGGAGCTGAACTTAGTGATGTTTACATTCTGTGTATTGTTCTGCTTGAAATTGCTGCTTTTAATAAAAAGAAGTATTTTTGTAAAGTTTTCTGAATTGTCCATTTTAATTATTTCTCACGATGAGTTTTCACTTATGGCCTATGAAATTGCTTTGTGTACAGCTATCACGTAAATATATGGTAACTTGCTAGAAATTTGGTATGTGTACGCTTGCGGGGGTATTTGTGCCTTTTGGCTGAAAACCTAGTGAAGCTTTTGAGCATTATCCAGGCCCCACACAAAGGAAATTCTACACTTAGGAATATAGTATAAATAAATGTTAAATTACTACTAAAAATATTTTTAACTAATTCCATAAGTTGAAATTGAAAGTTGAATATTTAAAATTACTAAGTTTTAATAATCTCAAATTGGGATGTGCTTTTCACCATTTCTGTTACTGATTGGGGGGAACCTTTACTGGTTTGGTTTTTTTTTTGTTTTTTTTTTTTTTTTTTGATCGGATTGCTCTACTGTTTGGATTCTGGCTGTTTAGTTACTGTATTTATCTTAAAGTTATTTATGGGACGTATATTTTAATTATTTCTATTGTCAGTATCCCCAAATAACCTCATCAGTGTTTTAGCTGCCCTAGGAATAACTAATTCTAAAATCAATACCATTTCGTATAGGTTTAAAATATGTACAATATTAAAGGGGGAAAAATGGGTAAGACCTCATTAACAGTGATAATCTGTGTTCAAAACAGTCGTGTGTATCTTTGTTGGCGTACAGTTGAAATGTTAGTGTTTGTATTCTGGAAGCGGTCCAAGCCGTTGTACAACAGCCGCGTGTACCTGAATGAGGACGAAGGTTAATTAATAACATTTATTGAAGCTGAACTATTGACACACTTTTTTTCCTACTATGCTCTTTTTACCCTTCACCTGTTACTTGAAAAGAATGTATTAGGATATTGTATAAATGCAAGCACACTATCATTGGCAACATAATAGTGCTTTTTTATCAGTAGATTAAATTAACTAGTCCTATCTGCTACTGACTTCTTGAGTGCATCTCTGACTTGTCACAAAATCACACAGAATCACAAGGGTTGGAAGGGACCTCGGGAGATCATCTAGTCCAACCCCCCTGCTAAAGCAGGCTCTCCTAGAGCATTCTACACAGGACTTCATCCAGGTGGG